TGTTGGCCTGCTCTGTTCATTGTTACTCTGTTACAATTTGTAACCTGCATTGTTCCTATTCATAGCAGCAGGTCTGCTATCTCAGCCTTTTTCCTCACCAGAGATTTTTTCTCCGGTATGCTCCTGCGCATGGAGCACGCAATTACGCAGCTCATAATTACGCACACAGAAGGCTGAGTGATGAAATGTTTTTTTGTGCAAGCAGGTGCTTCATGTTGTGTCTGAATGGACCCAGTGAGGCATAGACTACATCCTGCTTCGCCATTAACCCACTAGCAATAGCCTTAAAGGGCGAAGCCTATACGAAATAGAACGTTGGTTACGTACTGTAACCCCAGATTCTATGAGTATAGGCGCAGCCCTTTAAGCTCTGGGCCTTACTGGTTCCTAAATGGCTGAAGAAAAAAGGCTCCTTGGGAGCCAATTACCCGGTCTCGCCGTAATTTATACGGACCAGGGGTGAGGCCCACACAGCAGGTGGGCGTGGACTAAAGTTTGCAGTGCTGCGCTGCGCGCAAAGGGATAAACCCACTAGCGATAACCTTAAAGGGCTGCGCCTATACTCATAGAATCTGGGGTTACAGTACGTAACCAACAATTTTTCTATAAGGTTTGTGCAACATATTTCAGAAAAGCACTTGAAGTGTTTTTATTCCACATGAGGTATGGAAAGCTTTATTTGCCTTGATTAAAACAATATCAGTTGAAACATAACGTGAACGTGTTTTCAGTCAATCAACCATATAAATAACGCCACTATAAATCTAAAGCACAACAAACAGCACCATTCAAGACAGGAACACATACACTTTTAATAAAAAGCTTCAGTCCTACCACAGCAGTTGGGTTGAAATCATTATGCATAAAAACAGGAAGTCACTGTGACATGCTATATTGTGAAGTAGAACGCATCAGCCCAATCCCCATGTTTAACTTTGATTAATTACTTTTTCTGCTTAAAACAGCAGGCCTTTTTCACACAAGTGGTTCAACTCCTCACTGCCCTTTAGGACATTTTGGCTATCAAATACCAGATAAGTGATCTAATATTATTAGTGATAGATGTTCTTGACAGGAAGGTCAGTGATTCAATTGCTGCTACAGATGCATTGATAAAGAGCTGTGCGTGCTGTCAAGAAGATCTTGAATTAGAAACAACTCTCATTACATTCTGTTCACTGTTCTTCTGGATCAGTTTAAGTATGACACTGTTCATCAGAGGAGCAACAACCAGGCTTGGCACTGTGTCTTGGACCGGCTGGGGTTTGAGAAGACAGGTAAATGGTAAATGGACTGTACTTATATAGCACCTTTCTATCTTATCAAGACACTCAAAGCACTTTACACTACAATCTTGTGCCCTCATTTACCCATTCATACTAGAAATATACAAAACTTACTGAACAAATCATTCTAAGGAGACTAATTAGTGCTTTAGATCACATCCATATGCCGATGAGACACACATCTTCAATGTCTTACCCAGGGACACTTCGGCAAGTGACGACTAGTGGAGTTGAACACCCAACTCTTACATTGAAGGACGACTGCTCTAACCACTCAGCCGCAGCCACCCCATAGGTAGGAGCAACAGACAAACACAGAATGTAATAGAAGTGAAATGGAATATATTTTTTCTAATTTCAGTTTGTGTAAAAGGGTTAGATCCACAATCTGCACTTCAACATATTCTGCTTATATGCTGTGGAAAATAAGCAGTTGTTGGATAGCAGGAACAAACAAAGGGTTCAAGAGCATCTGAATGATTTCAAAAAGTTGTTCAGGTGAAATAGCTCTTTCTCTTGCATATTTAAATGATGTTGCTGGCTCAGGTGGAATATAATGCAGATTTCTCACAGGTATGTTCCCATGGTTACGAGTAAGTGAAGAACTGCAGTCTTCATTGTCCTGACCAAACCCTAGGTGAACCATCTGTCAATTTCATCTTTCTGATCAGGTATAGAAGTAGAGGTGGTAGAATTCCGCTCTTCTTTTACTGGGGGGTCCTTGATGACGGCCCAGATAAGTCCTCCATGATTGGGACAGCAGTCTTGTTTTTTCCCCAGACAATCCATAAGGGATTGTGGCTAGAACCTTGGAGAGAGAGGGGGCTGAAGAGGATGAGGAGGTTGGAGGATACATGACTGAAGAAGATGGGTAGTAAGAACCCACGTTGTAATCCTTTAGTGTGTCTTCAGGCAGGACATATATTCCAAAGCAAGACACCAGCATGGTTTGTCTGCCCGCCCTGGTCATTTTCTCCATGCTGGTATATGTTGAGTAGAAGTGGAAAATGTCTGTAGCAGGGACCCCTACAAATGTCTCCTTATATATTATTGAGGTGGGTCTTTGGAAGGCAGAGCTTAAAAGATTAGAGATTTTTTTCACAACCAGAATGTCGACCCAGCAACGGCAGCTGTGGAAAAGGGTGGAGATTTACTCATCTATATCATCCAATTTTTGTACCCATTGTAGCATTGACTGGGTAAGCCAGCTGGTTCTAAATACACTGCAGTCAGAATTTACAGACTCCAAAACAAAAAAGTTTTGAGAGAATCTTGTGGTAGGACTAGCACATGCTTGCTTGAAAAGACCAGTGACCAGTTAGACTCTCTTTACTCTGCCAGACTGCTTTGAAGAGAAGCTTTTTCTCTGCAATTTTTGCTTGGGATGGAAAAATTCCCCTTTTGATTCATTTTGAAATAATCGGTGAGCTTTCATTTTCTCCCTGGCTGTATTATGAAATTCTTTATCAAAGGGTTCATGAGCGATCGGCACCAGATATTCAGACAAAAGGAAAATGAAACACAAGGGACTGTAACTTGCTAGAATAATATTGTCATTTATTAATCTGCCACAAGAAAACAGCCAAGCAAAGTCATGTACACTTAGTACACTCTTAACATACAAATTGATATGAGTATCTCTCACCGTGACAAGTGACCGGGAAGCCTTTCGATCCAATGACAGAACTCACATCACAACTGCATGGCACCGCGCGCTGGTCCACACAAGACTTCCACTTTGTCACAGTATTTGTGCTCCTTAAATACCCCTTCCCGACCGGACCGCGTGAGAGTAGATGAAAACAAGTTTGATGGTTACCAGAACAACGGATGAGGAGCTGGTGACTTATTACCAGTAAGGAGCGTCGTGACCGCAAAGCGGGCCAAAACTCCGCTGCCAGAAACACTCCTAAGCTTAATAAAGCATTCCTAAAGAGAAAACACTGCACCCCTCCGTCCCTCTGCAAACCATCAAAGAGTGTCCCAAATATTAATAAAGGCAACATAAATCATTCCACCCTTTGCCTTTATGACATGTAAAACAAAATACAATCCCTAATATGTGAATAACACGTTGTATAAGTGTGTTTTCAAACTACATGTAAATGAGTGTAAAATAAGTATAAATTGACATAAAAGCATCAAAATAATCATTCCTATATCACTGGCTTAGGACAGATTTGGTGGTGTAAGCATTATGTGATATCACCAGTCTGAGAACTGCCCAGTAATTGTATGTTAGTGTTCCTATGGAGTTAAAAGCCTCAGTTTCTCATCTTCATTCATTTATCATTGAATTAATCTCTCTCGTAGTTGAACACGTATTCTAATTCATCGCCACATCTGCACGGCTCTAAAGACCACTCCTGGTGTAGCAATTCAGGTGGGGGGAGTTGTGTTCTAAACAAGTAAAACGTGGTGGATCGATACAGTAGAATTGCGCTTGGGTCCAAATAATTCGAACTGACCTGGCCCCAGCCTGCAGGCATCATCTCCAAACCCGACCCGATCAACTAACTAATTAACACTAATTACAGGTCCGAACATGAAAAAAACCCTAACATTTTTAATTAAGCTTTGACTGCTTATACCACCGACTATTATTAATGGTTGGCAGATGCGTGCAGCTGAGGAAGCAGTAGATCGGAGTTGAAGAGCCGTCAAAGTGCATTAAATGCTTCCCCTGCTTCTGCCTGCACACTGCTCTGACTTCGGATATTTTGTGATCTCACCCATTTGGGTCGTCGGCCGCACGCTTCCACTGAGTGCACCAGCTGAATGAATGTCCATTTGGGCTGATGGATCGCTGGCAGTAGTCCATCTGAAGCTTAACTGAACTTTTTACCTCTTTCAATCGACTGGTCAGCATGCGGTCAAATGACCACGTGCAGCAGGTGCAGTATGACAAGCCATGTTTGCATATATTGGATCGTCAGCTGTGTGAGTTCCTGATGCAATAAAAGGTCAGACACCGACCCGGCCCACACATTATTATGGCCCGGCCTGGTCAGAGGCCGGGTTGGGTGAGGCCGGGCTCTGGGTTCGGGTTAGGAATGACAGCTCTACGATACAGTGGTATTACAGACGAGAGCGGTGTTCTTTGCCACGAAGGTTGATTGCTGTTTATCCAGTGTTGTCAAGTTTGAAGCACCTGCAGATATTGTAGACAGTCTCCAGCGACTGTTACAGGAGGCTTTTCAGTTAAATTTGATGAAATATCAGCTGTAGATGGTCCTTGAACAGGGTTTTCATTCTGACTCTGACAACCAGTTGCCTCCTCATTTTTATGCTTGTATCTCTTTACTCTTACTGTGCTTGATTAGATCATTTAACAGCAAATGATAACAGAATGCCAAAAGAACATTAAAACATTAGGTAGAATTAACCAAAAAAGTCATGCTCAATAATCCAGGTATACAATCCAACAATTTTCAGTCAGGTCATCTGGACAGTTTCTTTTATTTTTTCTGAAACATTTCACCTTCTATCCGGAAGGCTTCATCAGTCATGGAAACACACAACACAAAACTGATTATTACCCCAAACAGCTTACTCTAAAGTGGAACAAACCAGTTATGTTCGCACCAACTAGAATCACTTAATTGAGTGTGTATTAATAAACATTAGTCTGTCTTTTTTCCCCTGGTGATTAGTGCTTTATGTGCTCGGCTCTCCACAGACTGAAGACACAGTCCTGAAGATTGATGGAGGGCCATGCTGTTCAAACAGCAGGCACTGCTGAGACAGAAGCTCCTGGTTCTGGGCAGCCTGGCTATTGGAAGTGTCCTCTATCTTGTATCCAGAGTTAGGACTTTGGACAGGTGAGTTCTGTCTATGTCAATTTCTTGATATTTAAATGACACACCATTTTTAGTTGAAGTAACTGATGTTGTATGACAGAGATAGTCAACTTCATTTACAAGTGGTTCATTCATTGGCCAGTTCATTCAAGTGGCGGTGAGTTGATTGTTTGGCTTCGGATTGAGTATGTTGAGCCCTTACAGGATGGCACACAGGAAACATAGGGAATAAGTACACGAGTAAACATAACTGAAAAAAAAAATCAAACTTAATCCAAAAATGCATAAAGCTAAAAACAACAAAAGACAAAGACCCTGACCCTATTAATTCACGTCATTTATTGTCATTCAATAGGTTAAAAACATAAGTACAAAATTTGTTTCACAGGTACTTGTTGGCCTTCTGACCACGGCACCCTTCCAGTTCTTTTGTTCCCAGGTGGAGAGGAAACTCACACAAACTCAACAAAATCAGGTTAGATAAATTATATTTACCACTTAATGTTGAAAAGAATGGCAAAATTACAAGCTCAGTGCTGAGGCGTCCGTCCAACTCGTCTTAACCCGGAAGCAGAAACGGAGGCCCCGTGCAACAGAACGCCCCAGCTTATATTGGCCCTTGGCTCCGCCCCCACATCCAGGGTGGGCACAGCCTATCAGAGTGTATCAATGGGGTGATAATGTGCGACGTCATTGGTCTTATCTGTTTCTGATGGTGAAAAAAATGGGGTGAGGTTCAATCTACATGATGGAAGCAAGCAGACAAAAATGACTTGGGTGCTGACCCTGGGATCACTCATTGTGAGCAGCTGAGACAGTGTGATCTGTTCTGAACCACTTTATTGGTCAGAGGAGATCAGACCGGGTCTCCAGCAAGATTAAACCTCTAACATACTAATGACAACAAATAACCCCAAAACAATTAATAATAAATAAACTTAATTCCACAATCTTAATCATCCTATTAAAACACATGGTTAAAAACAAACAACAGTAGAAAAGGGAAGAAAAAAACAAACAAACCCAGATTAAAAACAATACACCATTGAGAAGAGCCACACTTACTTTGTTACAGAGGAGGATCCTGAAGGCATCTTTAAAATGAATTCGTCCGTCAAGCTTTTGAACATTGTCCAAGAGCCCACAAGACAGAAAAGGCAGGTGATCTCATCAGAGAATCATCCACTTTATGAAACTGTTAGCATGTGTTACTTTTTTGTTTACACAAATGTAAGAATATACTTTTTTAATCACTAGAAACATTTGTACAATAGATAAAGAGAGACTATTTTTCACATGTACTACTGGGTGGCTGTGGCTGAGTGGTTAGAGCAATCGTCCTCCAATACAAGAGTTGGGGGTTTGAATCCACCAGCAGTCACATGCCGAAGTGTCCTTAGGCAAGACACTGAACTTCTCGTTGCCTCCGATGTGTGTCCCATCGGTGTATGAATGTGATAAAGCTCTGATTAGTCTCTTTAGAATGATTTGTTCAATTAGCTTTATAGAGATCTAGTAGAGTGCTGTATGAATGGGTAAATGAGGACACAGATTGTAGTGTAAAGCGCTTTGAATATCTCGATAAGAAAGAAAGGCGCTATATAAGTACAGTCCATTTGCAATCCATTTACTGATGGCAAAACTCTTACAAGTCAGTAGTAGAGTAGCAGTTTGTTTGGAAAACATAAAAAAAAATCATAAATACACATATGCATTTCCCTAAATCTGCCATATGGCACTGGCCAGCTCAGAATGAGTTAATGATGGCAGGGAGAGATCTGATTGACATGATGCAGAGAAGGAAGGTAAATGTTTTATCTGTCCAAGAGACCAAGTGGAAGGGCAGCAAGGCTCGCAGCAGTGGAGCAGGGTTCAAACTGTTTTTACCACGGTGTGGATAGAACGAGAAAAGAAGTGGGGTGGTCCTGAAGGATGAGTTGACAAAGAATGTAGTAGAGGTGAAAAGTCAACTAGGGTGATGTGTCTGAAGGTAGAAGTATAAGATCTGTTGTTGAATTTTGATAGTGGTTATATTCCACAGGTTTGATGTGAGGTAAACGAGAAACATACATTTTGAAGGATATAGACGAGATGGAGAGTATTCCCAGGGAGGGGAGAGTGGTGATCAGAGCATCCGATCATGTCCATTCATGTCTGAATGGACACGTTGGTGAAAGAAACGGAGGGGATGAGGAAGTGATGGGTAGGTTTGGTGTCAAGGAAAGAAACCAGGAAGGACAGATGGTGGTGGATTTTGTCGAGAGGATATAAATTGCTGTAGTCAGCACTTACTGCATTTCCAAAAGAGGAAGGAACTTTGGGTGACCTACAGTATAAATGTGGAGGCAGAAGTGTGCAGTGCGTTCTGTGTAGAAGAGGAAACCTGAGGGAGATTGGGGGCTGTGGCAGGGGGATGGGGGCATGGCCATACAACATTGGATGTTGTGGTGACAAAGATGCAAACAGTAAAGTCAGAGAAGATGAACAAATGATGGAAGGAAGGAAGGAAGGATCTTGTGAGGAGTTCAGAGAGTAGCAGTTAAAGGTTCTGGGTGGTAAGAAAGAACTTCTAGATGACTGGGCTACTACAGCAAAGGTGATGTAAGGTTCCTCCTGTTTCCAAGGTATATTTGTAAGGTTTGTAAGGTATTTGATCTGTCATCTGGACAGAGAAAAGGGGCAAAATGTACAATGATTGCAACTACATCAGCATGAATCCTTTTTAAATTCTGAGGCTGATAATGTGTTTTCTTCTTTCATGTAGGTTTCAGCCCATTTGCCCTATTGAGAGCAGATTTCTCTCCAATGAGCTGGAACAAATTCCCCTCCGCACCTTGCATTTTAAGCGTGAACTACTTCACGAACTCCATAAGGGCAATGCAACCAAAGAACAAATCCACCTGCGCAACCTGGTCCAACAGCTGCCGCGGGCCATCATCATCGGTGTGCGTAAAGGAGGCACCCGAGCTCTGTTGGAAATGCTTAACCTGCATCCAGCGGTGATCAAGGCCTCGCAGGAGATCCACTTCTTTGACAATGACAGAAACTATGCCCGGGGCATCAATTGGTACAGGGAGAAAATGCCCTTCTCCTTCCCGTATCAGATCACCATTGAGAAGAGCCCTGCCTACTTTGTTACAGAGGAGGTTCCTGAACGCATCTTCAAAATGAATTCATCCGTTAAGCTGTTGATCATTGTCCGAGATCCAACAACTAGAGCCATATCTGACTACACTCAGGTTCTAGAGGGGAAGGAGCGCAAAAACAAAACTTATCACAAGTTTGAACAACTGGCCATTGATGCCAGCACATGTGAAGTGAACACAAAGTATAAAGCTGTCCGGACCAGCACCTATGTAAAACACCTGGAGCGCTGGCTGAAGTATTTTCCTGTGGAGCAGTTTCATATTGTAGATGGAGATCGCCTCATCACCAACCCTCTGCTGGAACTGCAGCTTGTTGAACACTTCTTAAACCTACCATCCAGAATTAATCAGTATAACTTGTACTTCAATGCCACTCGGGGATTTTACTGTTTACGATTTAACATTGTCTCTAACAAGTGCCTGGCAGGCAGCAAAGGCCGCACTCATCCGGATGTGGACCAGTCAGTGATGACAAAACTACAAAGCTTCTTTCGCCCCTTCAATCAGAAGTTTTACCAGATAACTGGAAGGACATTTAACTGGTCATGATGACTTCTGAATTTGTTCACTAAGATTCTTTGGTACGGTGTTGTTGTTTTGTTCGTTGTTGTTGTTGTTGTTTAAATTTTTTGTGCCCACAATTGAAAGGCGAACCCAGAACTAAATTTTTTCCAGTGTCTGTGTTTGTATAGCTGTCATACCAACATGTCCATCCACTGGACAAACTTTATTAAACTAAACTGTTTATGCGTTGGAACCATTTCAGTTGATGTCCTGCCAACTGAGCCTATCCATCCATCCATTATTTTCCACTTAGTCCGAAGTCGTGTCATGGGAGCAGCAGCTTGAGCAGGGAGGTCCAGACATCTCTTTCCAGAGCAACCTCTTCCAGCTCTTCTGGGAGGATTCCAAGGCGTTCCCAGGCCAACTGAGACATAGGCTCTCCAGCGTGTCCTGGGTCTTCTCCCAGCCAGACATGCCCGAAGAACCTCCCTAGGGAGGTGCCCAGGAAGCATCCTTACCAGATGCCTGAACCACCTCAACTGAGCCTAAAGAACACAAATGTCACCTTTACAGATTTTGAACTAAATTTTTGTGTGGTTGTAGCTAAGCCTAACCCCCAGTACATATTCTGAGCATCAACAGATTGTTTGAGATGTACTGTATTTACAATTTTACCAGTAACTGTTTGGAGTCAACCCTGTCAGTATGTTAGCGGAATTTCTCATGAACCACTTGTAAGATTTAATGAAACTTTAAGGAATTATATTTTGGCTGTACATCAACAAGTGATTCGCTTTGGGAGCCAATCCAAAGACCTCATAGTATTATTCACACCTCAGACCCCAACTTCAGCGCCACCCATTGTGTGACATCTTGGCTTAACACATTAGCATTATCATTTGGCGTCAACCCTGTTTGTCTGCTGGCAAAATGATTCATAAACCACTGGACATGTTTTTATTAAACAAAACAAAATGATCATTTGTCATATAATGAAACTTTAATAATATTTGTAGTTACACAATTCATGATGGCTGCACAGCTTGTAAATCTTTGCCAACATTTAAATGGCTCTAACTTCAGTCAGTTTTAAAAATAATTTGCTAAATTGGGTGTGGTAGTAGCTGAGGATCCTCATCACATTATCTGAGTATTAACACATTACATAACTCACGATATCGCCCGAAATTGGGCAGTCACTTTCAAGGTTCAACCAACAATAGTTACAACTCTTTCCCATCTCGTCATGCAATGATTTAAGTTTAAAACTCTAGTAGAAGTGGTGGGCAATATGAGTTCTATCAAGTAATGCTAGAACTTCAGTTTGTTTTAATTTATTTATTAACCTTTATTTAACCAGGCAAATTCCATTGAGATCACAGGTCTCTTTGGCAAGGGAGGTCTGGGCCTGAAGGCAGCCTAACATACATGTTTTTGGTTTATTTTGTTGTTTAGTTTTTTCATTTTGTTGGCAAAAAAATAATCACTTTGATTTAATTTATTACAAGAATGACATGGGACCAAACTAAAAATGGATATACGTTTGCTTTACATGTGTGAAAATACAAGAAAAAGTGTTATGTTTACACTGGAAAATTAGTTTGAATGTACTTGTTTTATTTTATTTTTTAACAATTTAGCTGTTAGACAGTTTTCTCTGTAAAAAACAAACTACTTTTAACAGTGTAAATAATTAAAAATATACATTTTAAGACTGTAAGATACAGACATTCATGCTTTTAAGATAAGTTTCATGTGTGATGTTTTGATTTAAAATGAAACTTGATTAAATATAGAAAAATTATCATTATGTCATTGACTTCATTGTGTCAGCCTGTGCAATCCAGGGCTGTATTCCAGAAAAAAACATTTAACAAACTCTGAGTTTCCCTGTAAACTCTTAGATAACGAGATATACCATGTTTATGTGCATAAAAAGTACCAGAAGATTTGATGGAACCCCATTAAACTGCATCTCACCTAGGTATATAAAAAAAAAAAATTCTTACAAAATTTGTCATGGACACAAATTTATAATTTTGATTATAGATTAGACTATGATTATATAACATCTGACCATAATCACCAGATATTTGGCCTCAGGTTTGTTTGTTCTTTTGGTGCCAAAATGTTAAGAAATGATTGCTTAACTAAATCCAATCCACAGATATTTTTCATTCATTCATTCATTCATTCATTCAACCTTTATTTAGACAGGTAAATCCCATCGAGCCTCAAGGACTCATTGACAAAACAGAACTGATTTCAACAAAGAATGATGAAAACAATGGACAACAGCAACAATAATAGACAGTTATAAAAAAGCATACAGATTTTTTTTTAAACTAATAGGATGCCTAAAACAGAAAAGTGTTAAGATATTTTTGGACTGGTCCTATGGTTTGGATCTGCTCAGAGACGGGATTATAATGAAATTATGACCCGGTTCTGACTGGGTTAAACTGGGCCAGCAACTCTAAAAAGAATCTCCCTGGGATTCAGTTTCAGTCAAGGAATAGAGTTTAATCTGCTTGCCACATCACGTAGGAAGGCTTTTTAAGCACGGTCTCATATTTCCTTACACGTCGGAGGAGGACCCATAAAAACCACCAGATCGGTGAGACACTGAAGGAGAAACCATAGAAACCACCAGGTTGGTGATGCACCTGAGGAAAAACCATAAAAACCACTGGATCCACCTGGTGATGCACCTGTGGGGAAACCATAGACACCGCCACGTCTTCCTGGTGATGCACCTGAGGAGGAACCATAGAAACATCTGGGTCTGTGATGCACCTGAGGAAAAACCATAGAAACCACAAGGTCTTCCTGGTGATACACCTGAGGAGGAACCATAGAAACCTCCAGGTCTGCGATGTACTTGAGGAGGAACCATAGAAACCACAGGGTCTTCCTGGTGATACATCTGAGGAGGAACCATAGACATCACCAGGTCGGTGATGCACCTTAGGAGGACCCATAGAAACCACCAGATCGATGATGCGCCTGAGGAGGAACCATAGAAACCATCAGGTTGGTGATGCGCCTGAGGAGAAACCATAGAAACCACGGGGTCCACCTGGTGATGCACCTGTGGAGAAACCATAGACACCGCCAGGTCTTTGTGATGATGCACCTGAGGAGGATCCACAGAAACCACTAGGTCTTCCTGGTGATGCACCTGAGGAGGAACCATAGAAACATCTGGGTCTGTGATGCACCTGAGGAAAAACCATAGAAACCACAAGGTCTTCCTGGTGATACATCTGAGAAGGAACCATAGACATCGCCAGGTCGGTGATGCACCTTAGGAGGACCCATAGAAACATCTGGGTCTGTGATACAACTGAGGAAAAACCATAGAAACCACAAGGTCTTCCTGGTGATACATCTGAGGAGGAACCATAGACATCACCAGGTCGGCGATGCACCTTAGGAGGACCCATAGAAACCTCTGGGTCTATGATGCACCTGAGGAGGAACCACAGAAACTTCTGGGTCTGTGATGCACCTGAGTAGGACTCAGAGAATCCCAAGTATCCTGGAGTTCGTTTGTACCAGCTGTTTATGTGCACCAAACGTTTAAAGATGTTTTAAATAGGTTTTCTCTGGCATGACAAGCTTTATAAACTTCACTAACACCCTCAGGAATGGTCATGAGGAAATAACTTTACCTCGTTTGTTTCTTCTTCTGATTGAGTCTAATACACCGTTGTTAAGCATAATGTAGTGATATTTTGTGTTTAACCAATATTTTTAAAAGAATACTGGGCTCATTTTTGAAGTGAAGTTCAGTCAAATCATTATGAGTACTTTGTACTTTATCAGTCGGGACATGATTGTAGAGCAGAGGAGGGTAAAAACACTATAAAATAACTTTTCCTTGAAAATGACACGACCCATCTTTGGTACAAGCAGAAGATAATGGATGGATGGATGGATGGATGGATGACACACGGTGTGAAAGCTAATTAGCTAATATTTAGCTAATATTAAAACTGCAGCTCTTACTTTGTTGCTGTTTTATGAACTGAACCATGTTTAATCTAAGCTGTTCACTCACACCAGTATGTTGTTTTTGCCTGAGCCTGAAAACGTGATCTAAGATGGGATCACTTTGCTAACCCTAGTCTGGACCACAACCCTTTCCTCCATTCTCTATGACTGATGTCAACAACAACAACGTCAATGCTCAATAATCCAGGTATACAATCCAACATTTTTTCAGTCAGGTCATCTGACCACGTCAACAACATTTTACTTTTTCTGGTGGTTAGAACCTCTTACTGAGTTCTGTTTGGCAGCAACAGATTGTCAGCACACTAGTGTCACAGCTTATTGATTATTTATACTTTTAATGTTCTATCATCTCTTTTGTTACATCACTTCTTTTTCTTGTTTTGGCTGCTTCTTTCTTCAGGGATCGCTACAGCAAACTAAAGGGTCGGATGTCCTTCCTGATGCAACCAGACCACCGAGCTACCACAGCCCTCTGTGTGGAAGAGAGAGCTGCTATAGGGCGCCCAGGGGAACAGATGGAGGGGGTTAAGAGCCTTGCTCAAAGGCCCAGAGTGGGGCAAATGAGGGTAGAGGCAGGTGTAGGTTTTTCATGTTTCCCACCCACATTTTGATGCTATAGGTCTGAGGAGTTGTTCATCTACATCAGCACTTACCAGTATTACAGATGTTGACCCACAGTACAGTTTGACACCTCGGCTGTTCAACTATAGACATTGTTAACTAGACAAACTGCATTTCTGGTGAAATGCAGTGAAAGCTGAATGATTTTTTTTTTTTTTGCTGAAAGCTGCTGAAGTTGCGGTTTCATCACTAAACTGTTAACGCGAGGTGAACTTGAACAGCTGACATTTACTTAAAGCAGGAAGATTAAAGCAGAAACAGCAGAAATGTCCAGAAAAGAGCATGCTAATCTGAAATAAGCACAGAGCTGAACAGACTAAAAACAAGAAACTTCAATTAGCAGGAAGAGGTTGAAAGTAGCATAAAAGACTGAAAGTCACAAGAAAATAAAAATATAAAAAGAATCAAAAAGTCTAAAATAAACAGAAAAAAATATATAAAGGTAGCTAAAAAGCAGAAACAAAATAATAGAAAGTTGAAAACAAAATATCCATCCATTATCTTTTACCCGCTTCTTCCATTTTGGGTCAAGGGGGTCGCCAGTGCCCATGTCCAGCAATCACTGTGCAAGGGGCAGGGTACACCCTGGACAGGTTGAAAGTCCATCACAGGGACACATAGAGACAAACTAGACAAACTACCATTCACTCTCACCTAGGGACAATTTAGTTACCAATCAGCCTAACATGCATGTTTTTGGTCTGTGGGAGGAAACTGGAGTACGCGGAGAAAACCCACGCATGCACGGAGAGAACATGCAAACTCAACCCAGAAGGCCCCCGGACCGGTATTTGAACCAGGGACCTTCTCGCTGAGAGGCAGCAGCTCTACCAGTTGTGCCACCGTGCTGCCCAAAAAGAGAATAAAAATACTGTATTTTTCGGACTGTAAGACGCATTAAGCAAAACAAAACAGTCAGATAAGACAAACTTTCTTCAACTCTTCCACTATAACCACATAAAATCAGTTCGAGGTCAGTAAGCACAACCAGAATTAATACATTATTGGGGGGCGGCTGAGTGGTTAGAGCAGTCATCCTCCAATGCGAGAGTTGGGAGTTCGAATCCACCAGCAGTCACATGCTGAAGTGTCCCTGGGCAAGACACTGAACCCCTCATAGCCTCTGATGTGTGTCCCATCAGTGTATGAATGTGATCTAAAGCTCTGATTAGTCTCTTTAGAATGATTTGTTCAATTAGCTTTGTAGAGATCTAGTAGAGTGCTGTATGAATGGGTAAATGAGGACACAGATTGTAGTGTAAAGCACTTTTGAGTATCTTGAAATAAGATAGAAAAGCGCTATATAAGTACAGTCCGTTTACCATTTACATAAGGTGCACCTGATTAGAAGGCTCACTGTCGATTTTTGAGAAAGTTAAAAGATTTTAAGTGCAACTTAATAGTCTGAGAAATACGGTAGCAGGAGAAACTGAATGAGCAGAAAGAATGTATGAACAGGATCTGATGAGCTCCGTTCAGCTTCAAGACAAACATGGCTGAAAAAGACAAATGTTTCATAAAGTAAAGTTGCACAAAAACTAAGACACAGGAGGAACGTCCTGAACGAGCTGAACATTTTCATACATGAATTATTAAAACACACAAAAGTTACAGAACAAGCTAATAAAGCAGGATGTGAACGTGCGAGTGGTTCACCCCACACCTGTGCATGAACAGAGCACATTCCTCAGAGTGCACGTTGTGGGAGCGGTTGTGCAGAGGCTAGAAAAGGTGGGTCTGTGATCAGAAGGTGGCCGGTTCAACTCCCCAGACCAACATCAAAATGTGGGTGGGAAAGTGAAGCACCCACTGCCTATGCCTATATGGGTTTGTATCGTCAACACATCTGGAAGATTTTAGACATATTGAGTTGGTTGGTTCAACCTGTTTTTGTATAATTAATACTTCTGTACTTATTACTTAATACTTGAACATGATTTGCTTTGATACGGTTTTATAAATTCTATAGAATGTTTTTAATACAAAGCCAACTGTTGTACAAAGTTTGTTGTACATTTATTCAAATAGAAGCATCAGATAAATTTGGAAATGTTCAACATGCTTAAAAAGCAAAATAAATTGAAAGATTACATTGTACCAACCAGTGTATTTTGGTTTCTAAGCCCAGTATACCCAGTACAAAAATGTAGACTACTCCACTGATCCAGCGGTTCATTCAAGACTCCAGATAATTAATACCAAAACGTTGATCTGAATGTTTGGAATCATTTTGAAAACTGAAATTCATGATCAGTTTCTATCAGACTGAAGTTTAGGCACTAAATATTCAGGACTGTTTCTGTTCCTCCACCTGACGGTGCCGTCACCTCCACTGACCCAAACGACTTCAGACACTCAAACGAGGCGTGGCTCAAACTTCACATTTATTTAGTGCGGTCACAGAACAACAGCTCAGCACAAGTTTTAATAACAGCTTGTAGCAAACTGATTTTTATCCTTATCATCAAAGCTTCTCTGCTATTTACAGAAAAATGCCAGCTGTTACAAACATCTGGTCAGATGAGTTAGATGTTGGAAGAAAAGCCTTGCTGCATGAATCAAACAGCTCATAAAACCCTGATGCTCTGGACACAGAGCTGCACGTCTTCTTCTGTCCAATCATCAGTTAAAAACACTCTGCCTGTAGAACACCTACATGGTTTTTAAGCAACAGGAAACAGCTGACTGGATCTGCTGGACTCAAACTGTCTCTCAGGACCGGACACTGGTCCCTTTAAAATATTTAAAAAAAATCTTTTTTTTTTTTTTTTTTATAATGGCACATCTCCACCCGCCATGAACTCACCCTCCACCCCCACCATCGGGGTGAGTCTAGACTTGTTTATAAATTGTATAAAAATAGGAAACAACAAACGAAGATATAAAAATTAACAACAGTCCAGATTAAAGAATGCTGCTATCAGTGAACTATGGTGTGTGTGGGGGTGGGGGTGGGGGGGGGTGTTGTTGTCTAAAAATCTAAATTGAAAATGGTTTGAAATCTTCCTCGTTGTGTGCGTGGGGGGGGGGGGGGGGGGGGGGGGGGGTCAAAGCCAGAGTGTGGCATCACTCCAACATACAAACAGCGAAATGTTTGATTGTCTGTGTTTTGATCTTATTCAGCAGCTTCTGGGGTGGAGATGAGGGAGGAGGTGGGGGCGGTGGGGGCCTCTGCTGTTTCCTGTGAGGCCTTCTCGGTTTTGTGCGCCTCCTCAGCTGCAGGCTCGGAAGGTTTCTCGTCTTTTGTCTCCCCTGCAGTCGCGGCGTCCTCAGTAGGTTCCGGCACCGCCTCCTCCTCTGGCTGCTTCTCTACCTCCTCCTTGGCCTGCTCCTCAGCGGGCTGCGCCCCCACCTCAGGGGGCTCGGTCTCCTTTGTGGCGGCCGTAGGCTCCTTCTGGGCCTCCTCCGCAGGCTCCTTCTGGGCCTCCTCCGCAGGCTCCTTTTGGGCCTCCTCTGCAGGTGTTGCTGCTTCCACCTCGCTCTCAGCTCCGTCCCCCGTCTCCTTCTTGCTCTTCTTGAAAGAGAAGCCGCTGAGCTTGAAGGACTTGAAGGAGAACTTCTTCTTCTTCTTCTTGGGGGTGTCGTTGCTGGTGGAGGTGGCTGCGCCGTCCTCAGCCTTGGCTGTGGTTTCTCCCTCAGCAGGAGCTGGAGATCCAGCCTCCTCCTTCCCCACGTCTGCAGCCTCCTTCTCTGCAGGTGCAGCCTCGGCCTGCTCGGTGTCCTCCTTGGGGCTCTCCTCGGCGGTGGCGCTGCCGTTGGTCTGCGCCTCCTCTTTCCTGCTCTCAGCTGCAGCAGGAGACACGTCCCCATTGGCTTTGACGTGGCCGTTCTCCTGAAACACAAAAAATGAGTCACGTCTGGACTGGGTCCCAACAAGGTGCAGTACCCCTGATGGACACCAGGAGAAGAAGACTCCACTAGACCAGCAGGGACCACACAGATGTTTGATCGTTGGATTATTATTATTTTTTTTTTTTTGGGGGGGGGGGGGGGGGGTCCTGCTCAGGCTGGTTTTCATCTGATGCCCATCCAGTAACTTTAATTTTTAAAGACACCTTCACATCATCAGTTTATCAACAGTATAATAAATATATCATTATTAAACTGGTGTTAATGACTGACATTTACTTTACACTGGTACAGATTTATTTATTAAATTATATATATTAAATAAAATCCAGCAGGTGCTTGAGTTTATGAGAATATAGTCTCATTAAAATGTAAAAGGTCATGGTTTAAAATGTAAAACTTCTTATTTTCATGAGCTGTCTGTGATTTATTATGAACAAAGTGCAGATTAGCTGTAAGGCTGGATATGACTCTTTAGACTCGCTTATCCTTAACTTTGCTAATTTATTCCTGTTGATCTTTGCACTGTGCTTGTTTGTTTTAACACAATCGTTCTGATATGCTTCTTACTGTTAAGTGTCCTTGGGTGTCCTGAAAGGCGCTTTTTAAATAAAATTATTATTATTATTATTATGACACTGAAATATTACCTGGACTAACTGGGACTGCCTCTGAATAATAAGTTGATTAAGTTTTTATTTGACCTGTTGTCGTCCTCTCACAGCGCACGTTTGTAGGAATGCTCTATCTTATTTTTAAGAGCTCAGTTAGTTCTAAGCCAGGCTTGTAAAAGGTCCTCTTTTTAGTTCAGACATTATTGTTTCTTAAATAAAAAATATATAATGACCATAAATCAAGTATTAGTCACCAGCTGCCTGGATTTCCAAAGACCAGCATCGGCCATAAAAACTTCAGTTTTCAGTTGTTCTCTACCTTTTGATTTATATTTTGCTAATTCAGGTAATCACAGCTATATATAGTACTTTATAAATATTCTTGTTTTCCTCAAAACTTTGCTTAAACTATATTGTGAGTTTTAAAATTATCAGCCAAGCATGAAAAATCAGATTTAACATAATATAAGACATGCCAGCTGTGGACGCACAGCTGCGCTGCTGTGGTGATGGACCAAACAAGCAGAACTCTACAACAAACTGTTCGACAGCTGATCAGACCGGATCGATACTAAATCTAGCAGTATCGCGCATTGGTCCCATTAGCGGGTATCGATCCGGCACATGTCATAACTGCGCTGGTATCGATCCCCATGCACGTTAGGGGGGGGGGGGGGGGGGGGTTACCCTATCGATCCGATTTAACCAATTTTTTTTGGGGGGGGGGATCGATCCGCCCACCCAATGATACCGGTCCTCAGTCTAGCTGTTCGTCCGAACTGCACATTAGCGGAAGCAAAACTCACGTGCACCTTTTAACACAAGCCAAACGCATAAACAGACCCCCCCCACACACACACACACACATTAGTTTAATCTTCTCTCTGCTCTGCCTCGAGACACAGCAGGAGATTAAAGGCAACTTGTTTATTTTAAAGCTAGCTTTGTTTACTCAGATAAACACTCGCTGAGCCCGTCAGATCCTCCAGGTTCATGACTCAGTTTGTACCTGTCCGTTGGTTTTGGGCTCCCCGGCGGGCTCTGCCCTCAAGCCGCTGTGAGACAGCTGCGCTCCCATGATGCTGCTGCTCGCGCGAACAAAGACAATCAATCGATCCAAACAGAAAAAAGAACAAAGACCCCGCGAGCCTCTTTGTTCAGCTGTCCGCAGTCCCGGTCCTCCCCTTTCTCTTTGATTTCTCTGCACGCACAAAAAAGAAAAGTTCAGGAGAAGAAACGCAGCCCGGGGAAAGTCGGGACTAAAGCTTAAGAACTAGGAAACTCCCAGATGGGGTCCGAGCGGCTGCAAAATGGAGAACAGATACCTCTGTCGTTAAGATGCACAATCCAGACATGAATGGGCGCCTCAAGCGCTCCTTAATTCAACCAATCACAGCCCACTTAGGCCCAAGGGCGGGGCTTATAAAAAGCAGGAGCCTAGCGCTGCGTTTAATGAACGTAGGAAAACTAAAAGAAAAAAAAATATTAATCAAAAATAGTTTTAAAACATAAAAAAAACCTTTTAGATAACGTAAAGCTTTGGCTTCTCAAAAGTATCAATTAAATCTTTGTATTCTTTTAAACCTTTCATTCAAATTTGACATAACTGAAATGCACTTTTTGCCCTGCTCCCCTCATACAGGAGGTTGAAGAGCATTAAGTGTAGAACCACTAGACTGAGGAACAGCTTCTACCCTGAGGCTGTTAGACTCATGAATCTCCAACCAGGATAATCACTGTGAAGAAAAAAAATCACTGTAATGCCACTTTGATTGTTAATAAGTGCTGCTGATTATCCATGCTGCTGATTATTTCATGCTGCTGTGTTTGTTCGTACTCATCTGCTCACACAGACTCATGTTCATGCTGCTGTTGTTCGGCATATTATTTTGCACTATTAGTGTATTTCTTAATTCATATCTTAAATCCTTATTACAGTTTTTTTTTTGTTTGTTTTTTTTACAATTTATATTTTTGCTGTTGTTGGGTGTAACTGGGACCCTGTGTACACAATTTCATTCCACATGTGATGCGAATGACAATAAAGAACCTTGAACCTTGATAACTTTCATTGTGACTTGACTCTATATAAATTTAAATTAATAGACGTGAAAAAAATAAAGGCCTCGTTTTCCCTGAATGAATGAATATCACCTGCAGCCTTCAAAGCCAGAGTTTTAGATCAAGATCATCTTATTCTGAGAAATAATGGAATTACAACAATTATGGTCAAAGTGTTCATAATGAGTGACAGACACACAAAAGTTAGCTTGACCAAGACATAGCCTTTTTGTGTTGGTTAAGACTGGTTAGCTGTGGTGGCCATCTTGAACTGGGTTTACTCCAAATACAGCTGTGGATGTACATTGTCGACGAAAATTAACACAACAACTCAGACTTTTCAGCCTATTCACCTGTTCCTCTCATTGGTTCAGAGACACATAGAGAAAAGACACAATAATCAGTCAGAGAGATTCAAGTTAAAAGTATTACCAATATTTATTAATGCTTTCGGCTGAAAGGAGACACTCTTACCCCAAACCAACAGAGACACAGCAAAAACCCAAGACACGTCTGACTGGAGCTTCAGCATCTCCTGTATTTAAACACAAAAGCTCCACCCAGAGATGTGTCACACATTCTTAAGTTATTTGTCTAAACTGGTTCAAACTGATGTCTTCATTTCCTGGAAGTCCTTTTATGGAGTTGTTTTATTATTTTTTTCTGCCGTTCCAGTTTACTTGGTGATCTTGTCATCAGGTGGGACACACACACCAGCAGCTCCCTGTTAGTTCATGTCCCATACACAAAAAACTTAAATACATTCTCTGACTTAGTTCACTCTGTACTTGTTGATACCAAAAGGCAAGCGGATCCAAAAGCCAAGCAGATACAGATAAAGAACAAGATACAGTTGTGATACATCGAGCAATACAGCACAGCAGATAAGAGCGTCTTTACATTTCCCCCCTTTTGGTCTCTGAAAGAGACCATTACTCCTAACTATCCATCCCTGAATAGGTGTAGCTCTGCATGTCCTAGAAACCCCCCTGAGGCAGCTGTTCATTTTAAGGAGGAAAGCAAGGACATCACCTCACGCCTCTCTGACGGTGGTCATTTCTGACCCAGATCCCACCTGTACAGGAAAATAAACTTTCCCTCATCTTTCTTGGTAAACACACAATGCAGCATTTTAGCAAAACAGGCAACTTTAAAGCTGGCGGGAGCAGTCAGCCTCTTCCAGTAGCGGTGCGATGGCCACTAAGGATAGTTCCATGGCTCGTCCCTGGCTGTACATTTGGTAATCAGGAGGGCACTCACTGCCACCTTTCTCGATTGTAGAGGTGATGAATCTGACGGCCAGTGAATGACAGAAGGGCACACAGCAACAGCCACAGACCACCATGATCTCTAAAAATTGTAACCACAGACACTAACAGAGAGATTACTAATGTTTTCCATGTACCATTACATGTTTGAAAACCATTCTTCTAAAGGGTTCTCAATGCCTGAGTGTTAGTGCATGGTCTTACTCAGTCTTCTCAGTCCCCCCAGTGCTCTGGTCACCGATGTGTCCGAGGCAGTGTTGTTAGGGATGAAAGTAGAAAATTTTTCTCCAATCATAGCACAGGCTCCCCCCTTTTCAGCTAATACCATGTCCAGTGCCATGCGGTTTTGTATGGCCATCAGAGAGGTAGGTCCTATCATACCCTCTCCAGCTGGCCTGGTGTTCTCCACACGCTATGACACTGCACAGGCTGAACTGGAAGGTGGTTGCCTTGCCCAAGGTGTAATTCAGCTCGATGCCCCCATAGTTGGATATGCAAAAATCTGCACATACTACTGGAAGAAGTAAGATCAAGACCAGAACACTGCAGGGATTCCCCTTTTTTTTAATCAACTTGAGTGCGGAGATTTCTGTTTTCTCTCCGGGCTGCCAGTTTGAACTGTACCTGTTGGTCTTGAAAAGTTATTTAAATAAATTTATATTAATATAAAAAGGTCACTTACCAATTTTATGCCTGATGTGATGATTTTTTTTTTCCTCCGCCTTTGGATGTTATAAGTCTGTGTACATTTCTTGTCATTAAGTGACCTTGTACTAGATGTAGGGCTGGGTACCTTTCTAAAAAAAATCAGTATCGGTACCGGTGTCTGTACCTTCACTTCGGTGTTGGTTCCTGGACGGTTCTTTTTTCTGTACCAATTTTGTAATTACTATTAATTCTAACAAGAAAAAAATTACGTTACACATTACAGTAAAAATTGTGAGTTTTATTTTTTAATTTTGGTATTTTTCCATTCCAAGCAGTTTTCTTACATAAAAACAAAAATAATTTCCAGGTCAAAAGACCAGTTACAAACCAGTGACACGTCAGTGTTTAATGCTCACTGCTACACACTGAGGACCTTTTCACTGAACAGTTTTTCTTCAGAAAAATCAACATGTCTGTTTTCTCTGGACACAAACAAGCCCGCTCCTGGCTGATGGTGTCTCCAGCCGTAGAAAATGTTCACTCTGAGGCTGTAGATGATGATTGTTGCACACACAGATACCTGGTTGTCAGTTTGATAGCACTGATAGTGTCCCTCACATTCCACCAGCAGGTCACTGGATTCACTGAGGTAGGGATGATGGCATACATCTGCACCTCTGTGTCTCTGCCTGAATCTTCTCTGTGGTTCTCTGGGGTTTAGGGCTCTGATCATCTCCCTAATTGACATTAGAACAAAACATCAACAATAACATGGTTGTGTTATTATTGATCAAAAAACATTATCTAGGCTAAGAGATAAAGGTTTACCTGGTCAACAAAATCCTTTAAAGTTTAATTTACCTCCAACATGCAGCTCCACTGTAGAAAAAGCAGCAAATTTTTAACAACAAAGTCTGATTGTCCTGTGGCCCCCACCTCACTTTTCTGTCTGTCCTCACATCTGGGTCAGAACCTCCTGTGAGGAGAACATTAACATGAACAGTGAACATTAGTGAACTGTTTAAGCAGCTGACTGGATGGATGAGCAGTTTTACAAGCTAAGATTTATGTTACTGTCAATCTTTAGTTAGCTTCTGAGTTTAGCTAGCTACGTAGATAAAATAAATTTACACACTAATATTTTAAAAGTTAGCGTTACATGGATCATAATTTATTTCACTGCGATGTATGTGTTAAGCTGCAGTAACGCTAACAAAGGTAAACTCACCAGCTGAAGAACACAGAGCCATCCTCGGAGTTCTTTGATGAAGAGTCCGGTCGTGGAGATAATAAATCAGGACGTTCAGGCTCTCACAGACTAATGCTGAGAGGAGGAGGGGGGAGGCTAATGAACTCTTCTCTCCTCGCAGAAAAACACGGAGCAACTTTCTGCAGCGCGTGTTGTCGAAACCGTTTGACAACACGCGCTGCACACGTGAACCCGTCTGTGGGCGTCACCAGCACCATAGACATACATTACAGTATACATAGATTAGGTACGACAGCTCTATACATCTCTGGGTGTAATCTGGGTGTAGTCTGTTTGTCATATGTCTGGTGTTTTACCAGCCTGCATGCTGAAACCACGTGACACGTTACAGCCAATACCAAAACTTGACACAGAAAGAAGAGTGGCGTTTCAATACATACACCGACCGGTGCAGTTTGGTCGGTGCCATAAAAGAAGCTCGGTTTGGTACTCAGCCCTAACTAGATGGCTTCTAAAGTTATCAGTTTTCAATCTTATACATCTGTAAAGTAACCCATATAAGTTATACATTAACAGACACACTATTATTCATACAGCAAACACTCACTCACACTCCAACATCATTCATGCAACAAATATACATGGCATTTATTTAATTCAATTCAGTTTATTTATATAGCGCCAAAAACAACAAAGTTGGCTCAGGGCACGTTACAGAAACATTCACATACCTAAAAGCCAATTTGTAAAGTTCCCTATCTAAGGAGGCCAACAGACAAGTTGAATCTTATGATGTTATATTTCCCTATACCTTCCTAACTAAGATTCTTGTTTGTCTCTCAACTTATAAAAACACATTTCCATCACTGCCTATTCTAAAAAGCTATCAATCCCTGTCTTTAACCATAACAGCTTCATGGTCATCTGCAAGTATTCTTCTTCTAGATTTTTTCTAGGAATCATCCAAATATAGGTGTTTATTTTAAGGATTCTGCCGTATCAGAAGCACAGCCTCGAGCACGAGAGAAAAAAATGTTGCTCAGGGATGTATTGCTGACCAGTCTGTTTTCAACTACTGACCTAAGGAGGCTATAATAAACAGAAACCCGAGGTCATCAACTTCTTTCGAGGAGTTAACAAAAAACTCCCCACAGGCACCCAAAAACCCAGTAG